GGTTTATTAATTCGTGTTTGCAGGATGTGGATCGGAAGTCCGGCGAGAAATGGCCGGCGGAAGATCCATCACGGCCAGCCAAGTGGTGGTATTCCACCTTCCACACCGTCACCGCCATGATCGGCGCCGGAGTCCTCAGCCTCCCTTATGCCATGGCTTACCTTGGCTGGTACTCTTTCCTCAAGTCATATTTACAACTTTATACCCTAAATTTTGTTATCTTACATGTCTAATTTGTAGTACAATACTTTTTAAATCCGTAAAAAAAGACTCGTACGTTACTAAAAGGCTGGTGATTTTGAAACTAGTTGCTATTAACTTCATAAATAAGAAAGATTCATAGAACTTCGACCAAAACAAAAAAGAAAGATTCATAGAACATGCAAAACAAAAAAAAAGAAGACGCAAAAAATGCATTTTCTTTCGTGGGTTTGTAAAATAGAAAAAGGGAAGTGATGTGTGGTGAAAACAGGGGACCAGGGACATTGATGTTGACACTTACATGGGGACTGACCCTAAACACCATGTGGCAAATGGTGCAGCTCCATGAGTGCGTACCGGGAACCCGGTTCGACCGTTATATCGATCTAGGACGGTATGCTTTCGGCCCAAAACTCGGCCCCTGGATCGTCCTCCCCCAGCAGCTCATCGTCCAGGTCGGGTGCAACATCGTTTACATGGTCACAGGAGGCAAGTGCTTGAAGCAGTTCGTGGACATCACGTGCTCCACCTGCACTCCGGTGCGACAGTCGTACTGGATCCTAGCCTTCGGTGGGGTTCACTTCCTCCTCTCCCAGCTCCCTAACTTCAACTCCGTTGCCGGCGTCTCATTGGCCGCCGCCATCATGTCCCTCAGGTCACACTTTATCATTTTACCATTTAATAATTTGTTACTACGTCACATTTTTTTAGTTTTAGAAGAATTGCTCGACATGAACTATACTACTTTTATAGGGGGGTCTTAAACTATTGGTGGGCCATGTTCATTTTTTTTTTATAAAATATATATTTAAAATAGTAAAATAGTATTTGTATTTGTAGAAATATGGACTCTAATTCATGTATATAATTTTTTTTTTTTAAAGCTAAAGAAAATTAAAAAAATATGGGTATCAATTAATGTACATAGTTAAAATTTTCTTAATTTCGTATTTGTGTCGGGATCCTGTTTCACCTCTCCACTTGCTCGTGATAAAAGACGACGGCCCTACAGTATTTTATACTAACCAAAATATGAACTGGAATTATATGGTAGAGATTATATTTTCAAGGACAAGACTAGCTAGCGTTGTCCTTGAGTAGATTACGATTCGTTTTTTAGGGTATACGGGTATATTACTATATGATATCTAAATGCAATACTAGTATTTTTATTATCAAAACGAACAAAAAAAAATCAAAACTGTAAACGTAAACATAAAAGTTCACTGTGATCTTTTTAATAAAAGCCTAATATTGTTTTTACTTGACAAAAAAAAAGCCACAATTTAAATCAACGTAAAAATTACATCAACTCATAGCAAAAACGTTATACAAATACAACACACCCAACTTGATAATAATTAACTAGGTCAAGTGCTGAGAGTTTGTGTTATATGTTGCGTATATAGCTACTCGACTATAGCTTGGGCAGGAAGTCTCGCACATGGCAGAATGGCTGACGTGAGCTACGATTACAAGTCGAAGAATCCAACTGACTACATGTTCCGAGTCTTCAATGCCTTAGGTCAGATCTCATTTGCTTTCGCGGGTCACGCGGTAGCTCTAGAGATTCAAGCCACGATGCCTTCGACTTCAGAGAGACCATCCAAGGTACCCATGTGGCAAGGCGTGATCGGAGCTTACTTGGTGAACGCCATTTGCTATTTCCCAGTGGCTCTAATATGCTATTGGGCATTTGGTCAAGACGTAGACGACAATGTGCTGATGAATCTACAGAGACCAGCTTGGCTCATTGCTTCTGCTAATCTCATGGTCGTTGTTCACGTCATCGGTAGCTACCAAGTGTTTGCTATGCCTGTCTTTGATCTTTTGGAGAGGATGATGGTTAACAAATTCGGTTTTAACCATGGAGTTGTTCTCAGGGTTTTCACTCGAACTACTTATGTCGGTAAGACTTTACTTTTGTTCATGCATGATATATATAAAAATGTCTAATTAATTAAGAATATATATATAGATAGTTATGATTAATTGAATCCTTAATTTGTGATTTTGAATGGCAGCATTTACATTGTTTATTGGAGTGACCTTCCCCTTCTTTGGAGACCTTCTAGGGTTCTTTGGAGGATTTGGCTTTGCACCGACTTCCTTCTTCGTAAGTCCACTTTTTGTTTATCTAATGTTTTCCCCATTCCAAATATTCTTACTTCTTGTTATGTGATTGATAAAATAATTAGACTATATAGAAGGTCCATGTTATGAAGATAAGTAATTTGATAATCTTGTTATGGATATATGTAATCAATGATGATGGATATTGCCACAGCTCCCAAGTATAATGTGGCTTATCATCAAGAAACCAAAGAGGTTCAGCATCACCTGGTTCATCAATTGGGTAAACATTTATATTTTTCCGTTCTTATTAGGCAATCTTTTTAAAATGAAGAATGTTTAGATGGTTGATCTTTGGTTTTTTTATATTGGGCAGATCTCCATTATCGTAGGAATGTTCATAATGTTGGCGTCAACAATTGGAGGACTAAGGAACATCATCGCAGATTCTTCAACCTATAGTTTCTACGCGTAATATTGATTAGTAGATCTTATGTTATTGATCATCTAATTAAAAAGTGTAGTAATAATTATCTAAATTGTGATCATTTCAATAAGACATACTGTTGAACTAAATTTTGCATACTATTGCTTATCGTATGCGTTTTCTCTTCATATCCATATCACAACATACAACTTCAAAATCCACATGATTCCAGGGAAAAGAACCAAAAAAGGAACTGACTACCAAAACTTTATTAAAGTCAGATGGCTGGTTCAGCTCATTTCAATATATTTCGTTGTAAAAAATCTTTCAGAATATTTTTGTAATCACTTGTG